AAAAGCACCGTGCTGATATGTCTCCTGCTGGCAAGAACCCAGTCAAGGGATCTGGACGAAGCACCTCCTTTCAAAGGGAGGCAAGGCAAATGTCCATGCCTCTGAGGCACTTTGCAAACACCCAGCCTCTAAGCAATGGACACTTCCCTGGGAGCACAGGGAGCGGTCCTTCCCCAGCAGAAAGCAAACTCACATACAACTAACGGGATATACAAGTTCAGTTCCAGCCTGAAGTGGGGCAATTTCCTGGATAGCAGCATTTTCCTAGCACCTAGCCTGAGAGAAGGCCAACTCTGTGCCCGCAGGCCTGAGAGATTATGGGAACGTGCTCCACCCTCACCCAAGGGATACCCAGGGGAGTCACCACACCATCATCCAGCTCCTGGACCTGGGCGTGAAGGGAAGGGTGCCGCAACAAACAGCTTTGATCTCCCAAAAGGCAGTTTCTGCTTGCTCTTTGTCAGGTCCAGCAAGGACACTTTACACCTCCTTAGCACCTCTGATCAAAGGGGAGTGGAGAAGCAGGGAATTTCCACTTAAGTCAGCCTGAGGGTCCCTTGGAGAGGTGGCCCAACTGGCCCAGACTGTGAGCACACCTATGTAGCTGTAAAAAGTGGGTCACTTAAAACTGGTGCCTTGACTCAAGTTGGCCAGCATCTGGCCCACCCAGAGAAAGTGAAGCACAGAGGGGCAAGTGACGCCGTCCCCAAGAAGCGGAACGAAGAGGAACAGATCCTTCCTCTCCCTGAGCTCTCAGTTGCCTGGTTGACAGCAGCATCAGGGTGAGTGCTGGGCAGACGCCAACCCTTTCACTCCCCTGCAACAGCTCCCAGGGAGCAGGATTTACACGGGCTTCAGTTTGGCATGCTTAATGAGCTCACTCTCCACATTCAGGTATAGACAGGTATCACCGTCTTCCTGATGCTAGTGGAAAAACTGATCTAATTACCTTCAAGGGCCCCCTCAGAGCAACTTAACCCAGAGAAGGGAGTGATACTGTTATTGTATCAAAGCAGCTCTCAGATGAAACATCAATCTAATTTTTTTTTCCACACATTTTTTCTCCTTCCTCACCGTAGCTTAAGGGCTAATCACTTGGCCAATTACCACTCCAAGAGTCTCTTGGCCAGTTAGCTGACCTTGCAAGGGACAGCCAGAAGCAAACCGCTGCACAGAGGTGGCATTTCTTTATGGCTATGGGGGGCAATTACGCTAGTGGTGTGATGCTGAAGGGCCTAGGGATGAGGAGGAGAGGGAAAGGACTACTGAACCTTGAACTTGCAGAGTACCTCACTTCTATGCCATGCAACACTAAGGATTCTTCCACTCCAGGCTTGCCCAGGTCCTGGGTGGAAAATAATCATTTGACCCTTCTTCTGAACCAAACTAATGAGCTAATGTGGCCGGGCTCCTTCCTAGACCTGGTGCATGGGGTTCCTGTCCCGTAGAGCAAAGAGTGTGATTTGGCACAAAGTACCCATATACAGGCTCTAGCTTGGAAGTACCATATTGCTCCTCTGCCTCCTCTTTTTCTCTGAGCCACACCGTTTTATGAGCCCCCTTATGGCTAACTACACAGACAGCACAGGAATGGGCAATGAATAAACTAAAGGTGACACATCTCAAAAAATGATACCTGTAAGTGCAAGGCTAACAACTACCAAAGCATGTTTCCTAGGCCGTCTTGTTCATGTTTCCTGCAAGCCATACCATAACTCAAAAACAGTCACGCTCATCCTGTCTTCCCCCAGCCCAGTTTGCACCATTTGCCAAGCTTTGCACCCTTAATCTTTAGCGGATGACTTCACTGTTGCCTGTGCCTCTGACTGGCAAAAGCCTAGGATTTGCCTACAGTCCCTACTGTGCTTCACCCATGCAAGCACACACTCACCTACTGGGTAGCTAACTTGTAGGCAGCTCTTATTTGTGTTTCAGATATACAAGATGCACTGCCTTATGCAGCCATCCCCCCATCAGAGCGTGCTATGGGACTGCTAGCACACACAACCTCATTTCACAATGGCATATTTGCACAAACAGACCATGGCATCTGCCACTTCCATTTGCTGCAAACAAGGAGTGCGATGGACAGTTGGAGGCTCTGTCACCAACTGGTCTCTAGAGGCTCTGCAGGGCTGGCAAGGAGCTGGGACATCCAGGTCTCCCTGCTGCAATGCTGTGCATCCAGTGCAATTTGAGTTTTCCAGGTCAGATTAGTGGCCCCTGCCCATGACTAATGCAGAACATGAAAGAATTTCGGCTGGACCCTGAGGATTTTCTAAAAGGTTGGTTTTTTTTCCAAATCCATCCATCTCCTTGCAGCATGTATCTGCGCAGAGGAAAATTTGCAGAGAGGGTCTGTGCCACCAGATTTCCACCCTGAGCTTGATCTTGGGTCACCCAAAGTTTGGGCTTTGAGACTTTGTCACAGCCCTTTTTAGAGCCCAGTTATGAAATTCGAATCTAAAGGATTATTCAGTTGGGAGCAGAACTTTGGTAGGAGTCATTTCTGAACTACGAACTGTGCAGGATCTGCTGCATACCCCAGTGTTAGATTACAGCAAGTCATGGCTAAGGTACAGTGCTTAGCAATGCTGCTCTGCCCTGACCCAGATTACAGGGTTCATACTTTGGTGGTGGGGGAATTAAAGCCGTAGGTATGCTGTTTTCCAAGGCACGAGAGAGAAGTCATTCCCTCTGCAGGTTTACAACATCCCCTGTTGATCAGCCCCTACTAGTAATCAGAGAGACGGAGAAATGTTAGAAATTTCATTTTTTTCATTGGGGGGTTTGCTCGGAAGTTGGGCAGGAGGTGGAAAAATGAGATCCCCTAAATCCATACACTATGGGCTTTCACATTTGGAATAAGGATGAACTTGTCCGGCATGGTCTCTGATACTCCCATGCTCCTGGCAGCCGAAGACGGACACGGGAAGGTTTAGCCGTATTTCTTAAGGTCCAGCCCAAGAGATCCCATGGGAATCTCTGTCTGCCCTGGTTCAAGTGGATACAAAACAGCCTTCCTATGCTATTTGGCTCTTCTGCCAGAAACCAGGAAGCACAGAGGGCTGGCAGGAACAGCAGAAAGATTACAGTATAACAATCGGATTTCCCATTCCCTTACACCACTAACACAATAAACGCAAGCTACCAAACGTGGATGGCTCAGGTTGAGTTCGGTGTTGTCTGGCCAAAGCACTGCACACTAAAGGAAAGCATCGGGGGCTGCGTGGGTCAGAGGTCTGGCCTTGACTCATCTGCGTGGGTCTGACTCTCCACCCTCCCCTTTATAGCAGGATAACCTCTAGATGCTATGGAACAAAACCCAGCCGCTGGGTAAGGCAGGGGGAGAATTAGTGCTGCTATTTTTAGATGTGCATGATAATACAGCTCAGAAAACTGGGGATTTCTTTCCAAACAAAAGATTTATTTATACATCAAATTAAAACACACACACACACACACACACACACACACACACGCAGAAGGGGGGGGAAAAAAAAAACCCCAAGCCAGTGAATTACATTCGGATACGGTCAGTGTCAGAGCGAGGGCCCTGGCGTCTGGAATCCCATTTATCCACAGAGCAGAGATAGCAGCAGTCCAAGCCTCCCCGTCACAGCGCAGTGGCAAGAGGGAAGGAGGATAAGATCAGTGCCCCAGGCTCGCTCATTCCCGCCCTATCTGCCCAGGCTTTCCTTAGAAGAGGGATGGGATATGGGGAAAGTGGCAATCAGCACAGACTAAGCAAAACCTCTGACGGCTAGGGTTGTCGCTAAAAGTTAGAGACAGCTGCCCCCATGCTCTGACCCTCCCCCCCCCCAAAAAAGGTGTAAACACATGACGATTAAGCCTTAGTGGTACAATAAGACCTAGGGGCCTGATCCAGAGCCTAGTGAAACCCTCAAAGACGCTGGATTGTACCCTGGGAGAAACTGCCCGGCGAGGCTCTGTGGGCCAGAGCTGAAGGCTGTGAGTTTGTGGTATCTGCTGGTCCCCTTCCCTTGGCACCGGCAGCAAGGTGTGCGCAGCGGGCACAGCGCTGCGTGCCTAATACAGCAGACGTGCCAGCGTTACCTGCTCCGTGGCCAGCAACAGCAACAATAACAACGACAACAAAAAGAGCCAGCACTTCTCTGAACCATCACGGGGGAAAAAAAAATGTCAGCAATAAATACTCCTCTTCTTTCTTTTAAAACAACATTCAAACAACGACAGAAAATGAAAAGCCAGGATGTGATAAATTGTAGGAGGAAAATGGTAGCTCTGTTTCCCTGCCCTGCTATCAGCCCGTGCACCTGGGGTTTGTTCTGGGGCTTCTTCTCCCCCGTCTCTCCCCATTTTCCTTTTACTGAGTTATTAAAAACTGGGGGGGGATCTCCCCAGGCGTGCAGTGGGCAATGGGAACGCTACCCAAACCCCACCGAAAACAAAGCAAGCAGGAAAAGAAAATTCAGTTCATCTCATAACGGCACCTAAGTTTCCTTCGCCATCAGCTTTTCTGGCCTCTGTCCTTCTACGGACAGCCCACCTGACCCCTTCCCAAGGTTAAAAAAAGAAGACAACAACATACAAACAAATTCCAGTGTTTTCGGGGGTGCAGAAGTGGCAGGAAGAAACTCGGGGAGGGAAGTGGGGCGGAAGGGCAGTCTGAGACGTGAAGACACAAACGGAGTGTAATATACAGGCTGGGCAACAGTCGTTAAAGCAAATAGGAACACCTAAGCCACCGACCAATACAAACACCACAGAAGGGGACGAAAGTCGTCGGAGAAATTAAAAAGCAAAACCAAAACCGAGAAAATAATTACCCAACCTCCCACCTCCCCTTTCCCCTCCCTCTCCAAAAAAAAAAAAAAAAAAAAGAAAAGAACCCCACTGAACACAAGTTGTTTGCTGTGCTCGTAAGCAAACGTGCACTGCAGTTTTAGACTAGATGGCTGCAGAAAAGGACCTTGGGGAATTAAAAAGAAGCAAATCCAACTTGCTGAAAAGGGCCGAGCTACACGTACCACTCCTTTTTGGAAATAAAAGATCCGTCGTTCTGCGAGACCATGTTCTCCGCTATGTCTAGCTGCTCGGGGTCGTACTGGAAGCCGAGTGTCCTTTCGTCGTAAGGTTCGGGGTGGGCCTCTCCCTCGTCGACCGTGAAGTACGGCCGCTTTGCATCCTCCTCGTATTTGTTGGGGCCGCCCAGCTTGCGCTCGCCTCCCGCATCCTCATCCTCGTCTTCGTAGGTGCTGCTGCCCAGCGGGCCCGGCTTCTTCTCGTCGTCCGAGTCGTCCGGGTACTGGAGGTTTTGGGCCATGGGGGGGTGATGCTGCGGGATGCCGGCCTTACTGTAGCCGTTGCCGTACACGTGCTTCTTTGTGCTGTAGTCACCCTTGAAGGTGTGACGCCGGCGCCGGAGCACCACCACGAGCACCACGGCCACCACCAGGACCAGCGAGACTCCTCCCACTATGCCCCCAATCACGGGTGTGGGGATGTTCGGCTGCACCACGGATTTGCGATCATCGTTTGGAGAC